GAAGGTATACCGATTTAATTCTGTATCGATAATTCATTGTATCTTATTCCGCAAGGTCGTTATGCAGTTTTTGAAAAAATGCATAACTTAATTATCCGTTTTAAAAGGTCAAAAATAGCAAGAAATTATTTGTCTACTTTCAGTTTGATCTACAAAAATGAGGTTCTGCGTTTTTAAGTCCTTCTCGCCCTACCGTAGCCAAAAATTCCCATTCCAACGAGCATTGCCGAGAGCGACGCATACTGTCGAGTTCTTTGTTCTGCGGGAAGACGGAAGAGCGGCGGGACGTTGAGCGAGAGGCTAAGAATTAGGATTTTTCTCGCCAAAAAATATGAGCTTTGCATTCTAACAGGGATTGCGACAGGGGCATGCATAGAGTTGATAGGAATTAGGAAAAATCGGGTTAGCTCGATTTTTAGTCGTTTTTCGATGCAATATCTGCTTATTGGATGGAACTGACTGGTTTCTAGTTTTTGAAAACTGAAAATACACGCTTATGCAGTTATGCAGTTTTCAGCAAGGTTATGCAGTTTTTCCAAAATTGCGTAATTTTGGGGTTTCAGAAGGTTTCAAATACGTTTCTGGGTGCCAGTTAGCTAATTCCCGATAAACAAATGCGAGTTTCCGGTTATGCAGTTTACTCCAGGTTATGCAGTTTACTGCGCGGTTATGCCGTTTTTGAAAAAGCTGGTTTTTTTGACATTTGTGGGTATTTCAATTCCCCTGCCGGGTGCCAGTTAACAATTTTCAAGTGCTAAAATAATTCTCCATGCTACAGTAGTGCTGTGGCAATTGTGAATAGGTGTACCGAGTACGGTCGTCACAGCATTTTCCCATAGATTCGAGCCGCGACGGCTTGTGCGCCCGGTGGCTGCCGGGGTTGTCGTGTTTGACACATCTGAAATTGGGCCATCACAATGCCCGAAATATGCTGTGAGTGAATCAACAAATTAATTGATTAGATAGATTTAGAAACGGAAAATAAGCCATGCACAGAGTTATGTAATTATTGAAATTCAACCGGCAATTTGGTAAAAACATTTTTTGAGTGATTGCACAAAACAGGTGTTTTTGTGGTCTTTAGTGTGTAGTCTGTGTTTTCTGCCCCTACCAATCATCTGTATCGAATGGCGTTTGTCGATTGGTTGAGCGGTTGACGAGGCAGACCCAGGCACACGAAGGCTGTTTTCTGATATTCTGAAAAACAGAGTGATATTTTGAGGGCCAAAACTTTCTAAAATTATAAACTGCACTCCAGTTAAGCTAACAGAAAATTTCCATCGAATTTTTCCATTAATTTTCGATTTTTTTAGAAGTTTTTCATACCTTGTCTGTACGGGCTGATGTTTATTCGTCTCCTTTGGCACCAAGAAGCTCCCATTGGTTCCAATTTTTTTATCCACCATTCGCACGCCATTCCGATTTTTCCAAGCGTCACGCGGGTGGTCCTGGAATTTAATAAACCAAAGAGTACTTTTAGTTTCTTACATCCAGGTCCTCCCAGAGCTTCCGTAAGGGTGGTGGCACGTCACACCAGAAAACGGCACGCAGGAAGCCGAAGAACCAATATCTGAATTTTTGCTGTAGCTTTTCTTGTTAATTGGCTGGTAAAGAACGCTATAGACTGAAAAACTAGATGATTACGATAGTTTTTGGGTTATGCCGTTTTTGGATTTAGCCTTTTGGCGCGCACTGGACCCGTTTTCCGCGAGTTTTCAGAGCTTTCGACCCATTTTTGGTTACGCCGTTTTTCGATTTGTACCAGCTGATGAGCAAAACGCCATTTTTGACCAAAGATGAGGCCATTGCAGTATTCTCTAAGTTATGCAGTTTTCCAAGCCACCGTATTCCCTAATGTATGCAGCTTTTCCCACTCACCTGACAAATACTGGGGGATTATTGCCATACTGCCTCCTGCCCTGGATAGAGAGAACAATTGAGGTGAGGAATGTTCCAATCGACACAATTATTATAATCGATAGGTAGAACCACGCGATTAAGGGGACAAATTCTGAGGTGGTAGGCATTGCATCCGATACCATCAACATCAAGATGGACATCGCAAGGAGGGTGGTGATACCTTAAATAAAATTAGTGGGGGGCAGAAAAGGCATTGGTAAGATTAAACCGGCTTGAGAGGTCGAAATTTCATGTCGTAATGCAACAAACGCTTTTAAAAAAGGAAATGTAGCGCGCAATTGGATGATTTTTTGTAAATACAGAAATTTTTAAGTTTTTGAGAAATTGTGATACCAATGGGAATACTGTGCGTCAAAAAATGTGTTGTAAGCTTAAAAGTGAGTAAAAATGCTAAATTTTACGCGAAAAGCGCATAAATCGTTTTGAAACAAAAAAGCGCTAAATAGGGCAGTTTTAAAAATTTCTAATTTTCGGAAATTCTTAAAAACGACATACCAAGATTGATCTTCTCCTTTCTATCATCATCCGTGCTGGCTGGTGTAAAGAATCCAGTGATAGACACAATGGTAATGATGGAAGTGGGAATTATCAGATTCACGACGTAATACAGCGGTTTTCTCCGGATGACAAGTGATGCTTGCAGGATTACCCATGGCTCCGGGCAACACGCGTATTTGTACTGGAAATTTATCGATTGATGATTCAAATGGTTGCCAGAAAACCTAATAAAAATATTTCCTACCTCATGCCGGTAGATTTTGAAGGATATCACATCCCATTCCTCGTTCGGGATAAAGAATTGGAGGTCAACCTGGAATTTGACAGATTGGTTAGGAAATACATGACGTCATCGGTTGTTTGTGCGTCAGTTTGTCTATTTGTCTGTCAATCTGTCTGTCTGTCCATTAACTTACCGCCGGATCAGCATAATAATCCAACGCCGATTTGCTGTTGGTCCACGACGATATCGTTAGCGTGCAATTTTGTTGATCGTACGGGAAGTATCTAGATATTTTACATACCGTAATCTATTCCGACGTACCGTATATTCAATCTGCAGGTCAATGTATAGATCGCCGGATACAGAAATGACATATTACTGCCATTCCTCCCCTCCCAATGGAGGGTGTCGGCTTGAATGTTCATATATCGTTCCGTTTCGTCTCGGGCCATGCGGACACTAAAATACAAAATTTATACGCTTTTTAGTCAATTTTCAGAGCAGTTTAGACTTTATCAAAGTTTTATGGCACGCAATTAGCTATTTTCCAAAGTTTCGAGCCGTCATTTTGGTTTTCTGCTAAAAACTGCATAACTAAAAACTGCATAACCAAAAACTGCATAACTTCAATACGCCAATTTGAGCCCTGATTCTGATGGCATAGTAGCTTTGCGCACCAGTTTATATCAATAGTCTATCAAAGATGACATTTCTATACCGTAAACCTGCGAAAACTCGTACCTATTATACAGATACGTATCGGGTATCCACAGCGAATCATGTGGCAATATCGTCTTATTGATCATCCCATATTCCCTCGGATCCCAAAATAACATCTCGTCTGTCCATTTCTAAAGGTTTTCGCTCATTCTATGCCCTCTCTTCACTCTCCCTCCTACTTGTATCATCCATACATTCAGCTTGATAGTTTGTGATGGTTCGTCGACCTCGATGATTTGATAGAGAGACATTGAGATTGATATCTTCATCGTTTCATTGTGTGCCATTTTGGGACGGACTCGAATGTCGTATCTGAAATTGTTTCAAATAGTTGGATATCGGGTTTTGAATTGCTTGGGTTATGCAGTTTTTGGCTCGAAGGTTATGCAGTTATGCAGTTTTCGCGAGAATTTCCTGTAACTTTTCGTAGAGAATAAATAAAGTTTTGGATCTTTTAGGAGACCATTTTCTGGCATAAAATTTAGATATAAACTTAATAAAAGCAAATAAATTTTCATATTTAGGTTATGCAGTTTTTGGGGGCGGCGGTTATGCGGTTATGCAGTTTATGCAAAAATTCGCTCCAACTTTTTGAATTAGTTCAATATAATTTCGAAACTATTGGGAAACGTTATCTGACATGCAATCTATAGATATAACGGCTTATAAATACAAACTACAGTACCTGTCCGGCGCAAAAATATCCTTTGTCAACCGAACCAACGGCACCTCCTCCTGCGACATATTTGGCCATCGTCGAGAGGCTAGAATACGGATAATACTGTTTATAGAAACGTAGGGCTTTAAAAACTGGTTTTTCACCACTGGACAATTTACAAAATATTTTAAAATAATTTAAACAGCAAATGGGGTAAGTCATGGACTACTCCACTCAAAAGAATCGAGCACAATTACCTGGACGAGGGATCATAAACGAGTCTAAAAATAATAATTCGTGAGAGAGAAAAATAATAATTCGGTTACGCTATGGAATGAGTACAGTGGATGGCAGATTAGACGTTGAAAAAAAATACTCAAACTATTCTATTACTGACCTGCCATTTGGGCGCCGGCAGACCATGCCGAGGAGATGAACCCGAGGAGAAGGAGAAGAAAATGGAGGGGAGAGTGGCCGGACATCAAATTGAAAAGAGACGATTCATCACCTAAAGTAGACAAATTTAATCGATTACGATAGGTAATAAACCCACCTAGCCACTGCCGAGCCCTCAATCATACTGTAGAAAAATTCTAGCTCCTAAATTCGGATTTTCAAAATTGAGATCCAAAAACAAGGTAAACTCGGTAAAAACCGATTAAGAAATTCACAAAAAATTATTCGAAACATTTTAAACACTTTACTGTATGGCAGAATAGACAAAAACAAATGATAAAAAGCAGAAAAGTAGAAAATTTAAATTAAAAATTTAATGACCAGAACGTTTTTGGCGAAAATGGCGCCAAAAATTCGTTGAGATTCGGTGGAAAGTGGACTAGGAATGAATGGGACAGCCAAGGTTACTGTGGTAATCGGTTCATTGGCAAGCTGTTTAGAAATAAGGAAGGAGAAAATAATGAAAATAAAAATGAGCTGACAGATACGGGAGAAAAAGGGTACGGTATGAAAAAAGGTGCGTTATTTGTCGATGGCCTCCATTCCCTTTGCATACCAATGGATGAAGCCGATAAAGTTGATCCCGAATGTGATGATGGCAAATGCTGAAAGACGGTAGAATTTGTAGTCTGTAGTTTGTATTTGGGAGAAAATTGCCTATTTATTTCAAGGCCGCCAAACTAACGCGGAAAAGTTGTAGTTTGTACTCCAGAAACCGTTCAATTGCTGGAATTTTTGTAGTCTGTAGCCTTGGAATTGTAGTTTGTATTCCAGTTAACCGCTTACCAGTGACAAATATGGCGAAACACAGCCTTTCGATCACCGTGGCCAACCACTCGTATTCGGCGATCGCGTATTTTCGGAGGGTGTGCTGGGCTACTGAAATAATCCATAAAATATAGCCGGCAGCTATAAAATATGGTACAAGCTACAAAATTCTAGCTGTAAATTCTTAAAACGAAATAAAACAGACCCTCCTGTCGGAACGGGTTATTCGGTGCTGCCCTCATCTTTGGTGTCTTGGCAGAGGGAGGGCAGGATGGAGCTTCACTCGTGATCGATACTGGAATAAATACAATTTTAATCAGGCTTCCGCTATTACAGTTGGATACTGGAGATGACAGTTAGAGGATTTTCATGCTCAGAGTTTTTTCAGGGGTCATGCTCAATCTCTTGGAGGATAGGGTTCCGGTAGGGGTTCTCAGGCTGCATTCGCTCTCTCGCTCTCTCTCTCTCTCTCTCTCTCTCTCTCTCTCTCTCTCTCGCTCTCTCTCTCCCTCTCTCTCGCTATCTCTCTCTCCCTCTTTCTACGCACTCTTTCATGCCGTCTGTCTCTCTCTCTCTCTTCTCTCAGACTCACACCACTGTTCATAGTAGAATTCTAGGAAGTCCGGGTTCTCCAGCAACAATTCATAGCCTCCTGGAAAATGAAGAATATCCTCAAGAATCCCTGCTAGCTTGCCAGTCATAAAAGGTGATTTTGAGGCATCTGACTGCAAGAAAAATTAAAAAGACCGTTGCCCGACGCTTTTTATTCGGCCCCGATTTTTTCGGTTTTGATGTCATAATCGCTTAGGCTTTCAAAATTAAATTTTTACGCCAATTTTCCGAGACAATCCTATATACTGCATAGCAGGTAATACGAGAAAACTTGAAAACTTCGGTAAGACCTTTTTCTACAGTACCCCTTACCATCAAGAGACGCAGCATCCCCATCCAAATTGAGTGAATTCGGTGGCACAGGTCGTGTTGTTGTAGGAGTTGAGGCAACTATTTCTTCATCTAAAATGGAGAATTCGATACAGTAGACCTAGAGGGAGAGGGAACAAGACGCCTCGAAAATTCATAGCATCGGCACTGGGTTAGGAATTGAGGGGGGGGGGGTTAGGCTACAGTAGGAGAAATCGATTCTCTCTCTGTACTCTCTCTCTCTCTCTCTCTCTCTCTCTCTCTCTCTCTCCATCTGTCTACATTTTCTACTTACGATTCGCCGTTCTGGGCGCCGAAGAATAGACATGCACCGATTTTACTAGAAAAAGGCGTGATTTTTGTAAGTAGTAGATTTTTAGGTTTCCTGGTTGTCAGTCTAGCTACAGTAAGAGCAAAATCTGAAAGTGGATTTTTGCGCGTATTTTTCTGGTTTTCTGTATAACGGCTTAGAATATTTTGCAATTTAAAAAAATTAAATAGAACTTTCTGATTTTTTAAAAATCAAGTCCTTGAAATTGACAAAATTGGCAGTTTTTTACGACGGTAACCCACTGGTATTATTGGAAGGGCTATGATGAATCAACGGTTCTTGACTTCTCTCTTTCTCTGGTGGAGGGGCAGAAGGGCCATTCTTTTGCTTCTTTCCATCAGCTTTCTTTGATTTCTAAAAGACGCTATTTCTATCGTATCCCCTTCCCGTACCTTTCCATCAATCTTACTGGGTGCAACAGAGACGGAGGGCGAGTCGAACATTTCCGTCTGGAATCCAAGTACGGTAATTACGTCTTTCATGCCGTAATCGATTAGGGGGTAGGGGACAGCCCGAGAAGAGATACACAGAAAGCCGTATGATTAGGAGGAGAACACAGTAAATTCATTAAATATCGTATACAGTATACTTACCCGAAAAAAATACGTGCGATGGATCTATTAAATAACAATAAAAATTCGGTTTTGAAAATATAAATGAATTTCTAATTTATCGGCACATTTTAAAAGCGTAAAACACGTACTGTCGTTTACTGTAGGGTACTGTAGCGTACTGTATAGCTATGCTGTAAATAACCAACCATCATTTCCTCCTTTAGTAGATGTTGAGGAACTGGCATACAAGTCAGGTACGAGAGACATTTTCCGAATCTAAATTCATGTCGTAATCGATTGAATGTGTCCAAAATAATGTAATGTACTTTCTGGTATTCAATCTACAGTATACCGGCGTTGCAAATTTATTTTGATCTTTTCCAATTTTTTGAAACGGATTTTGGCTGAAAATCCTTTTTTTGCAACAAAATGCCAGATTTTCCGTATTTTCTTAATTGATGGCTTAATCGATAGCGTTACCTACCGTAAGGCTCCCTTGCTGAGCCGTTCCCCTAGTCGGCCTCTCTTCTGAATGGCAATAATAACGGAAGAGGCAATTGTCCCCAGGGAAATAACCATTATCATCATCAGAATGAACCAGCCTTAAAAAGCACATTATTTGGATTTTTTTTTAGCTCTCTACAGTAATCCAGGTCTCATAAATGTCATTTTTAGATTTTCTGACAGCCAGTTTCACCTTATACACTGTAAACTAAAAGTTATGATGCGATCTACCTACCAATAAGTGGAATAAACGTAGAAGTGGTAGGCATTTGATCGGATACCATCAACATCAAGATGGACATCGAGAGAAGGGTTGTGATACCGAGAGATACCTTCTCTTCTCGCATACCGGACGCTGAGGAAGTACTGAATTGGCCATCAAATTAAAGTTATATAAAGGTATCTTACGTGAAAAATCCGACCAGCGCGATGAGGGTGATGATGGAGGTGGGGATGATCAGGTTGACAAGGTAGAATAGGGGCTTTCGACTGAAATTTTTGAGTGATACGGTGGTTTTAAGCAAATTATATAGATTAGTCGATGAACTGGTAGCCGGACTAGCAAACTGAAAGGAGACGCGCGCGAAAAAAAGTTATTACGGTTTTTGTATTCGACTAGTGAGATATTGGCGGTCACGACTTCAAAAACTGCATAACCTGATTATGGGGGTATCTAACGTTTCGAGGAATTTTTTTGGATAGACTTATGCAAAAACACCGAAAACAGGAAAAAAAGATCAGTTCCGGCTACCGAATTCCAAAAACTGAATAACCTATCCAGGCAAAAATCGCGGATCTTCAAGGTACAAACGATAAGTCGTGATCCAGAACGCCAGAAAATGCCGAAGATAATGCTACCGTAGGACAAATAGAGCGCCAGTTTGATGCAAACTAGTGATAAAAACAATAATAACGCCTGGTTACCGTAGCCCAAAAACTGCATAACCTAGATCAGGCTGAAAGTGCGGTTTTTGCGCTTCCGAACGCTAAATAGTAATTCTGCAGAGAAAAACACGTTGAAAATAATGGTACCATTAGACAGATAGACAGACAGACAGACGGACAGACAAAATCACAAAAATCAACTTCCCTATTGACCTACCGTAAATGCAGCGTCAATTCGAGTAGAGTGTACTTGTTCGGACAACAGCTGTATTTCACCTCTTTCCTCACGACTAAATTGTAGTTCGTACTCGGTAAATAGGTGTAGGACGTACTCTTCGTATTCATGATATACCATCCCTCATTTTCCAGATAATTACTCGTTCCCAGTTGTTCCGAGTACGGGAAATAATCGATGCCTTTTTGGTCGTACGTCCACGATGAGAATGTCATCGTGCAAACCTAAAAAATTCAATTTATTTAATTTTTTAAGTTATAAACTGGTAGATTGCATGCCAGATAACATAAAACACCCAAAAAATAGACGTAAAATTGAATAGAAATTTTTTAAAGCTTAAAACATGCAAACTGCCATGCGCTAAGGCTTACCTGGTTGTCAAATGGGAAGAATCTGGAAGAAAAACAATTGTTTTTAGTTTTGAAAGCTACTGTAATACCTCAAATTGAGTAGACACGAAAATTTATAGATGGTCGGGTACAGCATTTCAATCCACGCCGCTTTCAACCGCTTATCGGTCGTCAATTTTGCATTTAGAAGGCGTCTCGTGTCGTCGTCTTTCATTACCAAGCTAAATCATAGAGATTTTAATGGCCTTAACGGGTTAATTGGCTGTCAGTTTAACCAAAAATATAGGTATCTATTACAAAAATGCAATTTTTGTCGGTTTGACGAGCTAACTGACTGTCAGGAGTTAACAGACTGTGAGGTTTATTTTTACCTGTTGTAGAGTGTAGTATCGGGTATCCATATCGAATCGTGGGGCAATCGGATTTCTGTGATGTTACCGTATTCATCCGGATCCCAGTAGAGGAACTCGTCGTACCAACGCTACAAAATACAAAGTTTTTACTGTCTCTCTCTCTATCTTTCTCGTTCTCATTCGCTCTCTCTCTCACTCTCTCACCTCAATAATCCAAGCATTCAACAGGATAAATTGTTGCGGCTCGTTCTAAAAAGGTCACTCTAATTTTTGAATTCATCTTTCTCTCACCAATTCGAGAATCTGATACAAATCCATCGAAAATGAGACGTTAATCGAGGAATTGTTGTCCCACACCGGTTTCGCTAAATTGAGAAATTGGGAATTCCGTTCTACACCTCCTGCCATACCCTTTTTGTCATATTTATCGAGTAGATCGTGGACGAGGGCTATTTGGGCTGGGATTGAGGCTGTCAGGGTAAACAGTTGCACTGAAATCGACGGAATTAGATTGCGCTGCGTGATTGGATAGGGTTTCGTACTGGCATATAGTAGATACAGTAATTCTATGACCACCGTACGCCGAAATAAGCAAAAAATTCGTGCAATCGCGTATATTTTCGTACTGTCACCCATCAAGCAAAATTACAGTACAATTTCTAGCGTCATTGCGATCTTTTTAAAAATAATTTGCTTACCAGCACATAGGGCCAATGTCCGATGGAGGGACCCGAGCATTTTATGTCTTTTTCTCCTCTCTGCTTCTCTCTCACTCTCCACTCTCTCGTCTATCGGCTCACAGGCAATTGGAGTGTCATTTGAATCGAAGTGGAAGCAACGGCTGCAAATAATAGTTTTTATGCCGTGCCTTCAAGTAGAATTCAAAAATGAGAACAATTCAAAGCCTTGAGTTTAAAGGGACAGTGAAGCTAGAAATTCAGCAGTTTAAAGGGGCAGCGAAGTTGAGAAAATTAGCATTTTATAGGAGCGACGGCCTTCTCAGTGATCACCTTCTTAAAGGGTCGTTGAAGGCAACAGTCCTAAGAAAAACCCGAAACCTCCAAAAAACTTTCCGGGAGTTCTTATGCCAAAAGAGCCCAAATTTCAGGAACCTTTGAATTCCTCAAGGATCTCTGCTGGCTAGCACTTTTAAAGGGTCCATGAAGCCAACAATAAAAAAATCCCGAACGTCAAAAAACACCTTCCGGAAGTTCCGATTCAAATTGAACTCCTCTTTCTTTGCCAAAATCCGGTTCCGGTCATAAAAAATGTTTCAGGAAATTGGCAGCGTGTTCATTTCGAGGGGGGTATCAGCTGGGGGAACGGAACTCCGCTCTTCTAGCCAGAATTTCACCCTCCAAAACCCGGGGGGTTTATTTGAGGGGTTGAGTCTTCTCCTTTTTTAAGCTCTAGCCATAGCTTCCAGGCTTACTGAGACGAATATAAGCCCGAGAAGATGTTTTTTGCATGGCAGATTGCGGGAAAACAGGCTTTAAAAATCCCAAAAATAAACGGAAGCGTTTTAAAGGGACGTGGAAGGCCGGGGAATTGAGAATGTGAGCCACAAAGGAGATTTATGGTCTAAAAAACTCAAAATTCTTAAATTTCCTAAAAAATCGTTGCTAGCTTGCCTTAGATTAGTCCAAAAACTAGACGGTTACGGGAAACGAATCCAGATTCTCCTCAAGGAACTCAGCTATTTTGCCCACTTTTTAGAATTCTGAATTTTAACGACTTCTCTGAACCTAATTTTTCCCAAAAACCCTGCTAGCTTGCCCAAGATTATTGAAAAACAGGTTAAAAAACCCTGATTTCCTCAAGAATCGCTGCTAGTTTGCCTCCCGTCCAGTCCAACAGACCCTGAAAAAGTGGAATTCAGGGTATTTGCTATGGTGGAAGAAGTCTACTGGAAGTGAGCTGCACGGTTACGTCATTCCTACTGATTTTCCTAAAGGATCTTTGCTATCAAGCCCTCAAAAGTGGCCAATTTCTGTGTTGCATGTCAGTTGAGTCGGAATTGCCCTTGTAAAAGCGGAATTCAAACCATTTGTTGGCCAAAGGGCGGAAATAGTCTATGGGAAGATGAGCTGAGCGGTTAGGTCATTTCTACTGTTTTTCCCAAAGACTAGCCTCCAGGAATTTTAACATCGTCCCAGTTGGCCGCCAATAAAGTTCTTAATGCCCGGCAAAAAGTGGAATTCAAGCTATTTCAGCAGACAAATGGCGGAAGTAGTCTACTGGAAGCCGAGCAGCGAGGAGCAGGGGGGAAGGGTTAGGTGTTCATAGATTCCCCCTCCCCGCCCGATCGGCTTCTATCTAATATGCATGGTGCTGGTCATTCTCGACCCAGGTACCCTTTTCTCTCTCTTTTCTTCTGTCCCGGCCCTTTAAAACGCCCCCTTCAATTCATCTGGCATGCATTGGCCGTAGAGGTAGAGGTCCCGATTTCTACCGGGTATGCATTTGCAAATAATATGAATCAAACTGTCGAGCTGAAGACCAGCTTTTGGGTCGATTAACTGCATTGGCTTGCAAAAGGCACGTACTCAAAAGTCGGCGATTTTCCTTAAAGGTTTCTGCTAGCTAGCCTCTTTACCGGCAGTTTCCTTATTAGCGCACGAATATCTCAGAAAATAATTCTAAATCCCAAAGTTTCTCTGCCAGTTTGCATATTTGTCATCCAGTTGAGACGGTGGACACCGAGTTCCTAAAGAATCTCTGCTAGAGAGCCCCGTGTATGTCGCCAACGCCGTAAAACGTTAAAAACGCAATAGCTGGGCTCTCGCAACCCTCGGGCTCGCTTATTTGGATTAGCTGGAGGTCAAAATAGCAGGAGAAGCACTTCTACTGGTCCTGCTCACTGCCCTTTTCCACCCATAAAAGATATACCGCCCTCTAGGCCCCTCTTTTAGGTGGCAGGGTTCGAGGTTCCAATCTGGATAAGTGGGCGCATTTCTCTCGCTCTCTCTCTCTCTCTCTCTCTCTCTCCATATGGACACCTATGGGACCTTTCTCTCTCTAAAGATAGACAGACAGAGAGGTCATTCTCCCCCCAAAAGGCCAAAATCCGAGGCTCCAAAATGGCCCGCGATTCGATTGCCCTCTACACAAATTTGAAAAAATGGCTACGGCACGCCATTTCGGGATCAAGGAGCAAACAGGAAATTTTTACACGCTGTCTACTGGTGATTTAAAATTACGATGAATTTCTGAACATTTTAAAGGGAGACGGAAGTCAGAAGTTGAGAAAATATTTAAATATGTGCTCTGAGAAATGAATCGGCGCCTTGGCTGTGATTAATATGGCGTAATTGGACAGCTGCACCACCTGGCCGAGCCTATTCCGGCGCGTTTAAAGGGATTGGCAGTCGAATTGGAGGGCAGAGACGCCGGGAAGCCTAATTTCCAACTGGCTGGCTGGCGATTTGCATAATGACGAGTTTTCAAACACTTAAACAGCTTAAATACCGATCTAAAAGTGTTTTTGGTTGGCAAAAATAGTTAAGAACATTCACAAAGGCTTTAAAGGTCATAGTTAGGTTATGCAGTTTTTGTAAAACTGCATAACCTGGTGGTCAAATCAAACTGTTGTCCCTGGCTCAAGCTAAACCAATCGCCAGGAACGAATTGGTAGTCATTCGTGTTGGCTGCCAAGCTTCGTAGAATATCCCATTTGACTGGCAGGTGTGGGTGGGAGGGGTAAACAATGGTTATTTTTTCGAATTAATGGGTGGGCCAAGGGTAAATCTTCAGAAATTCGGCGAGAGGGAGAGAGAGAGAGAGAGAGAGAGAGAGAGAGAGAGAGAGAGAAAATGAGACAGAGAGAGATAGCGCGAAAGAGAAAGAGTAGCGCCCTAAGGGGGTTAGCCATCAAAAGACATCAAAAGGAACTCGAGAACACTGAAATGGACAGACAGATAGAAAGAGAGACAACCCCTTTCCATTTCGACGAACAACAATAGACACCCCTGCCCTCCAAAATGGAAAAAGCTAAAAGTGGGCGGCTTTTAAATGGTAGAGTATGACTTATTTTGTAGTATGTACTTTCCTTAACTTCGAACAGCTGGGGAAAACAAGAAAAAAAGTACATTTTTCTCATATTTCTGCCATAATGTTTTTTTAGCTAGAATTTTAAGCGTGAATCGACTAACTGGCAGCCGTTTGACAGAATAGATCTGCGAAAATCGCTCCTCGCTGTCAAAAAAGGTTATGCAGGTTATGCAGTTTTTCAAAAGTTGAGTTATTTTTGAGCTGGCCAAAGCATAGGGCCAGAAGTCTTTGGAATCTGATAAAATGGGGCACAGTTTACCAAAACACGATAATACATTATTTTCTGTCCGGCAAGTAATAATTTAAATTGCTGAAATTCCCTCTGAGGTTATGCAGTTTTTCGATTCGTCGATTCTTTTGAGGCTGGTATAAATGGCGGTGAGAAAAACTATCTGGATTCGTTTAGTCTGGCAGCCAACTCAGCAGAAACATGAAAGTTTTATTAACTGCTTGCCAATCTATTAACGAATGCGTTAAGATACCCGGCCCCCACCCCAACTGGTTATGCAGTTTTTCAAAAATGGTCTTTGCAAAAAATCGTCTTTTAGCGGTAAAACTACACTGTAAACCCCGTAATTGGATGGCAGCTAAGAAAATAAACCCCAAAACGTGCAGGTTTTTAAGGGAATTGGGTTGAGTAGGAGAGGGGAGGGGGCATTGCAGCAGGAGCAGGAGTAGAAGGGGGGCAGTAGAAGGGGGTGGAAGGGTACGGAAACGGGCGGGCCCAATCTCTTCTTTTCTTTTTAGAAGAAGAAGCAGAAAAAAGAGATGAAGGGACCACCACTACCCCACAACAATGGACCCACCCACAAAGTAGACTCTTAAATCATTTTAACCCGGTTTTGTCAGAGCTCAAAACTTCAATTTGCTACCAAATACCACTAATTAACATATTGAATTTGAAGCCGGCTTTCTTTTAAAGGTATCCGGGTTCTTTAGGATTTCCGGGGGAAAGTATTTCCGGGGAAACCAAATTTTTTCGGCCCAAGCCTAAATTTTTTTCTAAATAGCGCATGCGTTTCTAAATGGTTTTTAACTATTCCTGAGCATAAAAACTACCCACATTTTAATTAAAAAATTTCATTTTAGGTCGAAAAATCCTATAGAACCTTTAGGATTAGCGGGGGGGGGGAATGACCCAAAATGACCAATTTTCGACTTTTTCAAACATTTTTCTAACTTTTTTGAAAGGTTTTTCTACTTTAAATATAGTTAAAATTTACTAAAAACAATGGGAAAACACTTTATATTTGATTACTAGGTCAACCGGGAAAACCAGGAAAAAATTTGGTTTCCCCGGAAATACTTTCCCCCCCCCCGGAAATCCTAAAGAACCGGTATCCGATTGTCAGTTTGCGTAAACTGCCAGTCAGACAGGCAAAATCTCAAAAAAATCGCTTCTAGTTGGCCTGAAAATGGCTTCAAAATAGGGTTTCAAAGTCGTACATAGTTTTAGTTTGAAGTTGGATTACGGTCAGTAAAATTCCCAACGAATCTCTGCGAGTTTGCCTCAAAATAGCTTAAACCTCGATATTTTCAAACGCGTTTTCTACCAGTTTACATGAATTTACCGCGATTCGGGCAGAATCCCTAAAAATCTCTGCTAGCTGGCCTCAGACATCTTAAAAATTCAGGGTTTTGGAACGTTGACTACCAGTTTGACTTTCAAACCCCTTTAAAAGTCTATA